GTCTGCCAGGAATCCTCAGGTCACAGGGGCCGACCTGGCAGGGGTGACCAGGCGCAGGGTATCAGCCCAGAAGTTCATTGCCTCTGAAATCTCAGTTCTTTCTTGAAATGGCTGAAATTTTATGCAGACACCCCCGTTTGCACTGTGGGCTTGGCGGCAAGCGGGTGAGGGCCAGGGGCACCTCTAACAGGCTGGCTCTTTTTGTCTTCTCCTCCATCGGTGGGGCTGGGAACTCGGGCTGCCCTTCTGCATTGTACATGACACTGGCCTGTCCAGCTTCCCTCCACGATGCACAGGGACAGGCGCCACACGTGCAAAACACACATTGCCTCGTTGGGCCTCGGAGCAGGGACAGGTGGAGGAGAAAGGATAGCTGGGTCTGAGCAGAGGGCAGGGAAGCTGGCCCTGGGGTCGGAAGGCGGCTCTGACTCTCCTCTCTCTCTCTCCACACCCCCAAGTCTGCAAAACCTGCATCGTGCGCTACCTGGAGACCAACAAATACTGCCCCATGTGTGATGTGCAGGTGCATAAGACCCGGCCACTGCTGAGCATCAGGTGGGCATGGCCCGCACCTCCTGCTCACGAGACCCCCTGGGTCAGCCTCCCCCATCCCTCCCGCCCTCCATGCTTCCTTCATCAAGGCAGCAGGTGTGGGAAAAGCACAAGGCGTGGACCTGGGCCACTTCCTTCCCTTGGGGTCGCATCTGGCTTGTCACAGGCTGACATACTAGAGCGGCAAAGACCAGATCCACAGGGACCCCGATGGCTGGGCACAGGGTCTCAGGAAGGGGTGGGAAGAGGGGTCCCCTGGCTGGGAGAGCAGGGTGAAATCAGAGGAGTTCTCTGGAGAGCGTGTGGCTGATAAGCCCTGTCCGTTTGTCCCCAGGTCTGACAAAACCCTCCAAGACATTGTCTACAAATTGGTCCCTGGGCTTTTTAAAGGTATCTGTACACCATTCCTCCTCCCGCCCACCGACCCCATTTCCCAACCCATGGCCCTGTCCTCATCCTGCTGCCTTCTTCCAGATGAGATGAAACGGCGGCGAGACTTCTATGCGGCGTACCCCCTGACGGAGGGTGAGTGTGCTCGCGTCCATCTGTGTGTGCGTGGGTGTGCCTGGGACCAGGCAGGTGTGTAATGCTACCACCACTCACCCTCTGACTTCTTCCACGCCCGCCTCCCCTGGTGGCCGGGCTCACCTGGCTGAGTTCATGATCCCTGGGTCCTTGGCGGGCTCCCTTCCTCCATCGTCTGCCTACCTGAGATTTCTGTCCTTCTGCAGTCCCCAACGGCTCCAATGAGGACCGAGGTGAGGTCTTGGAGCAGGAGAAGGGGGCTCTGAGCGATGATGAGATTGTCAGCCTCTCCATTGAGTTCTACGAAGGTGCCAGGCAAGTCTGGCCCAGGCTGACCCCTTTTGGGCTCCTAGGCTGGGTCACCCCTTCTCCCACCCAGGGGCCTCTGGATGGGCGCATTGAGGGATCCTCCTCCTGGGTCTTCCTAGCTTTGTTTCTTTCTCCGCCCCCAGGGACCGGGATGAAAAGAAGGGCCCCCTGGAGAATGGGGATGGGGACAAAGAGAAAGTGAGTGCTGGGGCCTGACCAGGACTGGAATGTGGGCTGGGAGGGAGTGGCCTGGGCTGGACCCCATACCATGGGTGCCTGTGCCCCAGCAGACAGGGGTGCGCTTCCTGCGGTGCCCGGCAGCCATGACCGTCATGCACCTCGCCAAGTTTCTCCGCAACAAGATGGATGTGCCCAGCAAGTACAAGGTGGGTCCCTGGGCCTTTCAAAAAATGAATGTCTGTGTCTGGGTGTGTCTGACAGTCTGTGCACCCCAGCTGTTGTTCAGGGCTGGCTAGGTGTCACCCAGGGCTCGCCTGGCTAACTGAGTCCACATGTTAATAGAAGGGTGGTTGAAACCGAGATTAGGGTGGGGGCAGCCTCCGTGTGCAGTGGTGCATGGGACCAAGGTGGCATGTATATGTACGTGCTTGCACACTGGAACTGTGGCAGGGGTGAGTGTGGAACACGGGGCCTCGCCTGGGGCCAGTTGCCTGGGGGGAGGCTAGTCTGAATTCCAGTGGAGCTCTAGAACATGGCTTTTCAAGCTTGAATGTCTGTGTGTACCCTGGAGATCTTGTTAAAATGCAGATTCTGATTTAGTAGATTCCATATTTCTTTTAGTAGATTCCATTTCTCTTTTTTTTCTTTTTTTCTTTTTCTTGCTGTCATCAGGCTGGAGTGCAGTAGAGTAATCTCGGCTCACTGCAACCTCTGCCTCCCGGGTTCTAGCGATTTTCTTGCCTCAGCCTCCCAAGTAGCTGAGACTGGAGGTGTGCAACATGACACTTAGCTAATTTTTGTATTTTTAGTAGAGACAGGGTTTCACCATTTGACCAGGCTGGTCTCGAACTCCAAACCTCAGGTGATTCGCCCGTCTTAGCTTCCCAAAGTGCTGGGATTACAGGTGTGAGCCACCATTCCCAGCCCTAGATACCATATTTCTTTTTTTTCTCCAGATGGAATCTCGCTCTGTCGCCTAGGCAGGAGTTTTGCAATCTCTGCTCACTGCAACCCCTGCCTCTCGTATTCAGGCGATTCTCATGCCTTAGCCGCCAGAGTAGCTGGGATCATAAGCATGCGCCACCACACCAGGCTGATTTATATATTTTCAGTAGAGACGAGGTTTCACCATGTTGGCCAGGCTGGTCTCAAACTCCTGACCTCAGGCGATCCACCCACCTTGGCCTCCCAAAGCTCTGGGATTACAGGCGTGAGCCACTGTACCGAGCCAGGCATTGGTGTTTTTTTGTTTGTTTTTTCTTTTTGAGATGAAGTTTCGCTCTTGTTGCCCAGGCTGCAGAGTACAATGGTGCAGTCTCAGCTCGCCATAACCTCGCCTCCTGGGTTCAAATGATTCTCCTGCCTCAGCTTCCCGAGTGGCTGGGATTATAGGCATGCACCACCATGCCTGGCTAATTTTTTTTTTGTATTTTTAGTAGAGACAGGGTTTCTCCATGTTGGTCAGGCTGGTCTCAAACTCCCGACCTTAGGTGATCTGTCCACCTTGGCGTCCCAAGTGCATTACAGGCATGAGCCACTGTGCCCGCCTGCATTGGTGTTTTTTTAAAGCTCCCTGGGTGGTTCCATTTTGTAGCTGGGGG